GAAACTGTGGATCCCCCATCCCTGGGAGTGTCCAAGGCCAGGCTGGATGAGGCTGGGAGCACTCTGGTCTAGTGCAAGCTGTCCCTGCCCATGGTGGGGTGGGAGGGCCTGGATGGGATTTAAGGTCCCTCCCAACCAAAACCATTCCATGATTCTATGATTCTCTCCAATTTTGAGGCTAGATTCTGCCTCAATGAGCAGAAGGCTGGACACCAGCAGCCGAACTGGCACTGCCAGAGCCCAGAAAGCTGTACGGCTTTCCAGGCAAGGCCTGCTGCTCCTCTTTCCAAGGACAGAGCTGCTCTGTCATCAACAGCCAGGGCTCAGAGTTCAGTGACTCTACTGCCACGCAAATCTTCCAGCTGAAGTCGTCTTCTAGTGACAAGAGACTGGGGAGGGGACAGCGACAGGAGTGCGAGTGAGCACGACATGGGAAGAGGCAGATGTCACTATGTGTGTCTATGCAGAAGGGATGTGACCCTCTGGCAGCCTTGGGGTACCAGCATGCACCCCAACCTACAGACATCAGTGAATCAGGCCTCACGGCTATCGAAGGGCTTGGGGGATGAGTCCTGGTGAGCCAGAAATAGCAGCGAGAGGCTCAGCCCGCTCCGCAGCAGAGCGATCAACGGAATCACGCGCACCTTGGGCAACACCCACGCTTTTTGGCTCTCCCCTTTCGCCCTGCGTGGTCAGGAGACACAACAATCGCCCTCACCCAGCAGCGAGGTGCAGGGCCTTGGCTGTGACGTGGCCAATGCGGAGAGGTGAGGGTCAGGGGATGCCCGCTGCTCTCCGAAATGCCCCGATGTGTTTCACTCCTGGCGAGAGAGAATAAAAGCCAGTCGAGGTGACGGACTGACCAGGAGATGAAAAACACTCCCCTCTGCCCACACAGTTTCCCTCGTGCTCACGAGTGGCTCAGAAAAATATCATCTGGATGACAGCCAAGGAAAGCAAATGTGTGTGTGAATGGAATGTGGCTCCGTGCAGTGCTCTGCCCTCGACGGTTGCCCGTTTCAGACCGGGGCCTGCCAGCAGCACTAAATCTCTCCCCGTGACTGCAAACACCAAAGGAACACACTGATTTATGGTTCCTTTAAGTAAGAGAAGCAGAGTGTAAAACGAGAATATTTTCTGGATGAAAAATTAAAGCGATGTTGTTGTTAGTTCCTCATTCTAGGATCCGTGTGTAATTGGTTTTAAAGTTCCACTTGAAAGGAAAAGTGACATCAACGGGAGTTAAAGAAACAGGCTGAAAAGAAGTCCTGACACACTTAACTTCACACTCCGAGAGATCCAAACCAAGAAGGGCTGGAGGAAAAAACAAAGCGGCGAATTAACTAACCTCATGATCCTCAGCTTTCGCCTAGTTAAGGACCTCAGAACTCGTAGCACGCATTAATTAATTATCCCTCGTTACTCCCCGGCCCAGTAGGTGTTATTTACTTTGCAGATGAGTAAATGGAGCCATAGAACATGTCAGGACTAGCTTCTAAGGCCACACAGAAAGACAGCAGGTAAGTTAAAACAGAAAAAAACCTGACACCCTGTTTGCTTAAGGACCAGGCAAAATGCACGTTGGATGGAAAACAAGTCGAGAGCAATTAAAATGCTCGGGGAGGGGGGCTTTTCCCAAGGGCAGGGAGTGACAGGACAAGGGGTGATGGGTTTAAACGGAAAGAGGGAGATGGAGATGGGACATCGGGAAGGAATTCTTCCCGCAGAGGGTGGGGAGCACTGGGACAGGTTGCCCAGAGAAGCTGT